CTCCAGAAGCATACTTGTGTTTATCGTTCTTTACTTGAAGTCCCAGGGAGAAGCGTACATGATCATGTTCAGCAAGGGACCAAGAAAGTCTCCAACCATGACAATTTCTTCAGCAAGGGGAGAACAGGACCCAAATTCCCCATATCCTGCACCCAATATTATGTTCCCATTACTCTGAACATTGTATCTTATTTTTAACCTTCTGATAGGCAGGAATTTGAAAGGTTGATTCCTTATGAAATACCCAACCATCTCATTCCTGTCAGCCTGTATAATCACATTTTATTTCTAGTCTCTTATCCTCTACTGCTAACCTCTGCGTGTAAACACAACTTCAGCATACTAAATCTCATCTGCTCCTGATGCCTGTTCTCCTCCTGAAGTCATATCCTCTGTTTGTCACATCATAATCACTTTCCTAACAGAGCACTGTTGCTTCAGGTGGGGAATAAAGCAGCAGGAGTGGAGGAACTCTTAGAAACAAAGATCCTAATTTTTCACAGCAAGGGATATCCTTCAGTAAGCCTATTTGGCTTTGCAGATGAGCCCTCCTGGAGTTGTGCAGAGTAATACATGAACGCTAGAAAAGCATCCACATGAAATATGCTGGTTTGTCCAAACACGGCACCAGTAAAGCCAGTGCCTCTCAGGTGTCACTCTATTAAAATAACTGTTAGCGTCTACTAACAGGGTAACATTCACTAGAAAGAATAGAATATCCCCAGAGCCATCCTTTTTAAGCCAAACTTAACAAGAATTTGCACCAGACAGTGGCTATGGAAGTCACTAATGAAAAGTCCCTGTGATGTGGAGATATGCCAACCCAAAGATCTTCGGTCTTTGGTATAAGCTTTCTCATATTTTTCCTAACAGTGCAAACTGCTTTATCATCTTCTCGCTGTCACTATTTTCCTTTCCTTTCTGAAAAGAGCCTTTCTGTCCAAAGCTCTCAGAAAACAAAGTCTTTGGTATAAGCTTTCTCATATTTTTCCTAACAGTGCAAACTGCTTTATCATCTTCTCACTGTCACTATTTTCCTTTCCTTTCTGAAAAGAGCCTTTCTGTCCAAAGCTCTCAGAAAACAAAAAAGAAAAACCTAACCAAACTGACACAAAAAAGAAAAACCAAAGACAGGACAGAACATAGCAAAACATCGCCTCAGTAATCACTTTAAGAGATATAAATTAAAACAACTCTACCAGTAGATAAAAATACATTTTCTATTTTGTTAATATTAGAGATAAAGTGAACCCTCCACCAAGGTAATAGGATGATCACAATGCTTACTGGTTAATTTAAAGTTTAAGAAGAGTTTATTTTGAAGCCAAGCCTAGGAGTGGGCAGCAGGTTCTTCATATCTTCTGAGACTTTAAATGCTGATTGATAAATGTTAATTCTAAATTAATTGTCCTTAGAAAGAACAGCAGGTTGAGCATCCCTAACATGAAAATCCAGAATGCTCCAAAAATTTGAGCACCAACATGATGCTGAAAGGAAATGCTCATTGGAACATTTTGGATTTCAGATTTTTGAATATACACAACCAGTATGTATTCTGCAAATATTCCAAAATCCAATACACTCCTGGTCCCAAGCATTGTAGATAAAGAATACTCAACCTGTATTGGCATGCACTAAAATTTATCTTAAATTTTCCTAGAGGGCTCCATGTTTGACTCGACTTAAAAAAATTCTATTTATCCCTAATGGTGTCTACCCATTGCACGTACTTAAAGGAATGGTCAGCCTAGCAGTGAAGGAGCCACACTAATGGGCTCAACTAGCCACCCTAGAAGCATGCAGTGGCAGGAAGGTTCCAGTGAGAGAGAGCGGATTAAGTAAAACTCTACCACCATTTCAGGAAAAATACCTCTTAAGTTAGCAACATTTTCTTCATCTGTAAAGGGTAGCTACTGATATCGAGTATGATTTGTACCTTTCTTTGAAAGGCTTATTAAAGGAGCATTTTCATTATCAAGACGATCAGTGAGCACCTACTAAGTGAGATGCACTAGAGAGAGAAGTGCATTCTCATTGTGACCAAGATGGCAGCAGTGTGCATGCCTATGAGCATCCGGGAGACACAGGGTGCTTACAATCAATCTCTTCATACTAACTAGTGTAGTGCCTGGCGTGGAGAGAACACACTCAACAAAAGTTGGTTGAAATGAATGAATAAACAATGAATGAGAGAATTATAAAGACACAGAAATTGCTGGAAATTATCTGTATTTATTTGTTTGTATCTTGTTTCCCTAATAGATCATAACTCCATGAAAGCAGGAATTTCATCTGACTTGTGTCTAGTGCCTAAAGTAGTATCCAACTCAGTAACATATTTGCAGAATCACTTAATAAATACGTGAAAGGAGAAACTAAAGCCATTTATTCGACTTTGACCTATCTTAATACAGCATACATATGTGTAGAAGCACAAATTGGGTAAGTTTACAAGATAGGATAAATCCATGTAAGTACATGCAAATCTTCAGTGATGAAAACTCTTTTTTTCTTTCCTATAGTGCCTGGTTAAATCTTGTGCCATAGCAACTGCTCAGTACATGGTTATGAGTCAAGGAAATTCAAGAAAGCATTGGGGTTGGGAAAAAGATGATTTATTTTTATATTTCACTTCTATTGGTGAGAGAGGTCAGATAAAATATATGTTTTATAGTAGTACGTATAGAGAACAATGGGTGAAAAATTTGGAATGGGATAAAAAATTTTAGGGAAAGTCATAATTTTTAAATTAAGAAAAGTTAATATATAAACAATAAGAATACTTTTTTTTGAAAGTAGTCCAGATTAGAAATCAACAGAGAGGGAGGGGGAGTTATTTTACTTCTGCCTACCAAAGAATCAAAATAAAACAAACAATGTTTGCAATGTCTCTGCAACAAAATTCAATGTGTAAACATGTAAACAAGAAAAAATATCAGATAAGTGATCTATTTATATACAAATATTTTTCCATAGTTGTCTTTAAAATGATGATCTATCTAAATTTACCTGGCACAGTACTTCAAATCTAATTAATCATTGTGAAGGGGTATTTATAAGGCAAAAGAACAATGACCCCATAACAATATTTCATACAGGGCTTTAAATGTTCATGTTTAAACCATAAGTGAGCATGTATTAATTCAGTGCTACATTAAAATACTTAAAATACATAGAATTAACTATAATACTCTTGAGGAAACACATAAAACAGGACTAAGTTTGCATAAACTTCCTAGAACTTCCGATAACTCATTTATTTTAAAGATCAGTTAAGTATCATCATGTTTGGGTATGTTTCCATAAAATAATTACCCGTAGACTCTATAGCACAGAGGAATAGATGGGACCTATCAATTTCAAGTCCCCTTCCTGTACATGTATGCAAGTGGAAATGACTCGACCACATTTTCTCATTGCCTTTGTCAGCCGTGGGGAATCCAATCTAACATGCTCAGTAAATCGAGGATCTAGGACTAAGTTTATACCATGCCTAAGTTCTATGCTCTTTCTCCTAGCTGGGGTCTGCTAGTCTTCAGGAGGGAAGCAGAGAAAAGCTAAGAAAAGAAATGAGGGTGAGAGCCTGACTAACTATAGGCAGATGGTAACCCCAAGCAGCTCTGAAAATATGACTACTTAATTGATAGCTTAAAACAAACAAACAAACAAAACCCAGATTTGGCCATGCCATAGTGGCTACTGTCTGAGTGATCAATGAGATCAGATATTTCATAGTACTATCAGAACTACACATTTCTGAAACATAGCTCATTGCGAATCCTAGGTCACTCATTCCACCTGGTTCTGAGCTGTGTAATAAATTATCTTTTTGATTAGATTTTTAAAAGGTGATTTCTTCCCAACTTACCCTCCTTCCATAGGCTGAACAATTCAGTTGTTGTTATAGGAAAAAGCCTGCTTCTTATATGTAGCGAAATTTAATTTAGTAATTTGAGACCATTTTCCTAATTTATTAACTTTAACCCTAACTAGAGAAGACTTACATCTCTCAGCTTCAAATTATTAACCACCTTATAACACATTCAACTCCAATCTCCAGTTTATTAATAAAAATATTGAACAACAGGATTTAGAATAGACTCTTTGCAGGACTGTATGAAACATCCCTTCCTAATTTGACATAAGAACATTAATTCCTCTGCATTTGATTTTCATTGGCCAATTCTTTGCCCATTTGGGGACAAAAATTATATAATTCAATGTTCTTCATTTTTTCAGTCCTATAAAACACATTATGCAGATTCTTCAATATCTACATAAAACAGATCTGTATAATAATAAGATTTGTATGGAACCTTTACAAATAAAATGGAGAAGAGGAATTAATTCATTGTATAGTGCTTTATGGTTTCTGTGATCAGTTATTACATGTATGTCCTTTGAGGCTTAATTTCTAATGCTTAAGAGATGTTGAAAGAAATAATCTGTAATAAGATTTTACACTGTCACACAAACACATGCATACATGTGGGGTTTAAAAAAATTATACTAAATCTATGTTGACAATTAATGTTTGGCATAAAAATAATAAAGACTTAATATCTGGCTTTCAAGTTAAAGGTACTACCAGAATCTATACATGAAACAAACATACCTAACATGAATTTTTCTAACTGTTCTTTTCAATATATAAAACATTTTATAGATAATATTTCTTTTGTTTCTCTTTCTCATAAGGCCTAGATTATGGTTAATATCTCATGACACCAAAAGTAATACTGCAACAGATATTAAAGCATTTTTTTCAGCCACTTATTCTATAAAATATTAATTGCAAGCCTGTGCATGTGCTGTATATATAGGGGATTAGGCAACTAGTTCCTGCTCAGTTCTAAATCAATAAAAGATAACATGCATAGCATCAATCATTGTTCACCCTTCCTTTAGTACATAATAACTGCAAGTGGAAGATTTTAAAAATATATATTTAAGCACTCATGGAGATATTACAAGCTAGAGAGGATGTGAACAATACTTACCTAAGAAGGACAGGTTTTTCTCTAGAAGCAAGTCTCTCAGCAGGACTTCATGCTCATGACCAATGGCACTGGGAAGTTTTAGTTAAGGAGGGTAACACTGGCAGAATTATACCACCAAGATGCTGATAACAGGTCTATATTTTGAGATGAAATGAAGAATTGAGTATAATAGTAACCATTTCTACTTCTAGCCCACATCTCTGAGAAATCAGATTCCTACACAGATCCCCTCCTTTAAATAATTCAATGGAATTTTCCTATACTATTTAAATGTATTTGGCAAATAAAGATTCGTAAATGAATATGTACTTTAACTTCTTTTGAAAAGAGGGGGAATCATTTTAAATATCCATTAATCTATGTTAAAAATCCCTCAATTTAGTCTAGCACACAATTATCAAGCACTTACTAAGCACAGCAAATAATACCAACCAGCCTCTGCCCTAAAACTGTTTCTAATCCTACAGTTCTGTAAATCTTCTGCAAATTCACACTTGTCACTGAGCCAGCACTTGGCAGCTCCTCTGCTTCACTTCCAGTGTACTGCTGGTGATCTTTTGTTACTTCGTAAACCAGACAAGTGACCTGTTAAGAATATATGTAATCTGGAGGAAAGACATCTTAGCAAAGAACTGTGGATTAGGGTGTAGGTATAGAGGCTGTTTCAAAAGTCTTTTTTTTGTGCGTATGTGTACACATACACATATAAATAGATACACACGTAAGTATATTAAATTTTCTGTGCTTACCATGTGGCACTGTGTGTTAAGTGCTTTATGTATATTATTTCATCCTCATAATTATTATAATCCTTATTTTATAGATGAGGAAACTGAGGCTTAGAAAGAAACCTGCACAGGCCATACAGTTAATGTGTGGCAAAGCAAAGAATGAGAATGAGATCTCTGCAAAGCCTGTGTTTATGATCTCCATGCAGCTTCTCAAAAAGTATTAAAATTGCCTAATAATAACTGATAATAACTAATCTTTCTTAAATACCACATACAAAGCCTTTGTGTGAAACACTTTGAGATACCATCTTATTTAATCTTCACAACGACCACATGAGTAGATACTTATTCATTAGTAGTTCCATTTTTACAGTTAAGGAAAATAAGGTGCTAATCTTTCTTAAATACCACATACAAAGCCTTTGTGTGAAACACTTTGAGATACCATCTTATTTAATCTTCACAATGACCACATGAGTAGATACTTATTCATTAGTAGTTCCATTTTTACAGTTAAGGAAAATAAGGTTCAGGAAGGCTGAGGAACTTGACAAAGGTCCCATGGCTGGTAAATAATGAAATCAGGAGTGGGACTTGGAAGTCTGGTCCTATTTTCCAAAGGGATAGAATTGCACAAAGCCTGAAAAGGAGTGTTATTCTATTCTGGTACTTTAATTGAGTCAAAAGCATTTGGTAATAATTATCTAAATCACTTCGTTCAGTCTCCATTTCAGTGACGTAAACCTGGCCACATCACTCCTTGGCTTACCAGAGCCTCTGATTCTGATCATGTACTACAAGAGTTCAACTTAAGTCAAATAAAACTTATATATTGTTTCTTTAAAAAAAAAATCCTGGAGAATTACTGGGCCCTTATCAATACTTACAGGTGAATATTGCTTAAATCTTGTAATTCAAGAGATGTAGCCATTTATGCACACCATCAAAGCACCCTAGGTCATCATTACTGTCCTTTTCCTCCTGTTGTTTTTTACCCCTCTCCAATGCATATGGCTATGTTTATTTAATTTCTAATTGGAAATAAAATAAAGGAAACAAATTTTTAAATCACAAAAACTTCACACATTTTCAGTCCATTGAAGGCATTTGACGAATAACTCTCAATGATCTCTCATTACTAGGGGCATCCCACATTTCAGAACTAAATTATTTACTTCTATTCCACACAAATGTGCTCTCACTTTTATTGTTGTAAATTATTTACATCTAAAATATTGAATCATGAAACTGAGGTTACTGATGGTACAGAAATGAAACCACAGTACTTGATGCTTCCTGAATCATTATCTTTCTTTGCTTCTCTGTTTGGGTCTTTGTCTAATAGCCGTGTTCTGCAGTCGCACTTTGGAAAGCTGAGGTGGCTGGTTTCTCAGCTGAATATGAGCTGTGGTGGGAAAGGTGCGGGTGGGCATGGCTATGGAGGAGAAAACATAGGAGACATAAAAAGAAAGAGAGAGCACAATGACAATGGACACACTCTTTGCTACTGTGCTTTTTGTGGTGTCTTAGTAGTAAACAATGGATTTACATTATTCCACTTACACCAATGTCCACGTGTAACCTTTTCATAACGGAGTAAAAAGATTTTGCACCTATCCTATTTACCAAATGTGTGCTTTCTTTCTTATAAAATGATTTAATTTACTGAGAGTAAGCAATGCAACATTACCAAATTATTGGAACATCACACAAACTGCATTTTTACTCACATGGAAAACAAATCATTTTTATTCAGTGTGAAATAAAATAATTCCTGTTGATCAGTCTAGGAAACATCTATGCAAGTGTATTTACATTATATGAAACTGCTACTACCTCAATGCAAAGATAAAATCAGTTTTTCTATAAACTTCCCAGCCTGTTTTATATTGCATGGTAAGAGCAATCACCAATTTGAAATTTTGGAAAGATAAACTTCTTGATTATGCTTTGCTCGATATAAACACATATAAAATGCAAGGACTAGAAAATAAAGCTTATAAAAACAGCAATTGTACTGGAAATAGACATAATGGAACTACAAACATTATAATCTAGTCAGTGAATGCAATTTTTAGACATACATCATAATCGTTATCAAATGAAATCATGTAATACATTAAATTCTACTGGCAATAACACCACCAAAAAAGAGAAGTGAGTGATGGTTAAAATGTAAGGAAAATACTCCAAACAGAATTTATAATGCTGCATAAGCAGAAACACTTAGACTTTGTCTATAATAATACCTATTATTGATGTATTGCAGTGACCATGGGGCAAAACTTGTAAATAACCTCACAAGCCATTTTCTTCACCAGCAATACAGCAATCTAGTTTCCCGTAAGCATCTCAACTATTACTGAAAAATAGCCTCCTGGCATTTACAAAGCAGTTGACTTCATACTTTAGTCCATGCATATATAATTAGATAGTTATATTTAAAATCAATATGCAATCCTTCAAAAGACATTATGCTTTTAAAACCTTAACTTTAAATTGATTTTTAACTATTTTATGTGCTTTAAAATTAACATGTAATTCAACTCCAGATACACTGAGATGGTATTAGTTGTTATACGAATGTGCTAAACTTTATCACTGTAGCAACATAGGATGGCACTCCTACAATTTCTAACACTATCATTAATTTTATACTGAAAATACACTTTGGCTTAGTAAAAAGGCAACTTGTGACAATGCTGTGGTTTTTATTAATTTAAGCTAGGTTGGGGGAACAGACTTGAAGAATAAATATGTAAAAAAAATATGTAATTTTAGGTATTGAGTATTCTTGCAAAAGGGCTCTGTTAAAAGACTATCAAAGGTTAACTTTATTTATGAGAGTGATTTTCTTAACAAAAATTTTACTATGAGCCTTTGTGAAAGAAGGTGGAACATAAACACACATAAATACAAACACACATAAATACACACACACACACACACACACACACACACATTGACCAACAAGCGCTTCCACCAAAAGCCCTCCTGATGTAATCACTGAGTCACACAGGTCATAGTGCCACCCGTGCTTACAAAACCTACACCAGGAAGGACATGTTTATATTAAGAGGTAAGAGACTCAAGAACTCAGATATAAATTATTTTCATAAAAAATTACAAATTATTTACCATTTAAATAGCATTTTTAGTTAAGGATTATAAAAATTTTTACTGTTGCCACAATTGTACTAAATTTATTAATTAACAATGCCCTACTTCATGAAGTAGTTATAAGTCCACCCAATCCTGTTTTAAAAGTAAATATTAACTCTTTAGTAATCCCAATGTCTTTAATGAAGGATGACTGGGCATCTGTTTTCACAGACTTAAATTCAGTCCAGTGGAAAAAATTAGCTTGATTTCTCTAAAAATGTTTATCAGTGATCCAAATAACAGCTTGGATTGTAATCAGCATTTAAGTAACAAGAATCTACTGCCCTTTAAAATGTGATGGTCTCTGGAGGCACGTTAATCATATCATCCTTTAACTCTAGGCTCAAAATTTATTCTTGTAAATTCAACTGAATTTGGCTCATTTTAAGTGAAACTTCGTTATAATTTTTTAAACGTTCAGTGGAATGGTTAGATACATCCCAAGACAGAATGTTACCTGCCTAATGACTCTGTACCTTTAAACTCATTGAAAACCAAGCAGTTTGAAATAGGCATGAGCATGTGCGACTGCTGAACTGACACCTTCCTGTGGTCTGTCTGGTTTTTCTTAAGCTGTGGAAAAGAATGGTCTGCAGTGACCCTCCAGTTGATGGAATGTAAAATAGAAGAGTATGAAATGTGTTTTGTGAAGCAGAACTTTATGTCAGGTTAAAGCTAGACACATCTCCTCTACTGAGTCTAAGCTCGTCAATTGTGCACCTAAAATTTTATGGGAAAGGATACTGTTTGATGCAGTCCACCAGTGGTCCATAACAACAGTCATTCACAATGCACTGCAGACAAATGAGAGAAGGGGTCTGGGGTGGGGCGACTACAAAAACTATTACAGTAAGCAGTACCCTAAAAGCAGTAATTACTTTTCTCCCCGCCCCCCCCAAAAAAAGAAAGCTATCAAAAGCCTGTTCAGATTTAATCACAGAAAACAAAAATTGCATGCTTTTTATTCACTATAAAAGCAAGCTATTAAAAAGTGAAATGCTCTTCTCACAAATATTGCATTGCCATTTATGGTGCACCCTGACCTCAGTGATAGTTTATGATGACAGTAATTAAATGAGGTTTAAAATCCTTTACTCTGCTAGGCAGATAACAGCATTGCCACTGAAAATAGACAGCTGTGATTAATACCTGATAGACCTGATTTGCTAGAACTCCATCTGGAATCTGAGAAGGGTCCCGTAGCATACTGTTTATAACAGACTTGGAGGCTGTAGAAGAAAGGAGATGAACTGTTAGCAGACAGTCAACATACTTTTAATGCAACATGAGAAGTGACATATATCTACATATACATAAACCATGAAAACAAAAACATTACTGATACCAATCATTTTTTTCCTTTTTTTTTCCTAAGGGAAGCTTTTAATTAGACCATTTTGCCAAGTTTATTGGCCATATTGCCAGATTTGATGATGACCTAATTTTTCCAAGGTAAATTAACAAGAACAGACCTAAAGCATATGTCTCTATGCAGATAAATTAACTTTGAAAAAGCCCACACGGGGAAACAAACAAACAACAACAACAACAACAAAAACCACAACAAAAACATTCAGAAAAGAAAATACTTCTACCTTTTGCAGGTAGGTATTTTACAACCAAGCATATGTCCATGGAGAGCTTAGTGAAGGCAGGTCAGACTCAAAGACTTCAATGATGTCAATAAAAAAACCCACAACAAAAACATTCAGAAAAGAAAATACTTCTACCTTTTGCAGGTAGGTATTTTACAACCTGCATATGTCCATGGAGAGCTTAGTGAAGGCAGGTCAGACTCAAAGACTTCAATGATGTCAATAAAAATAACCTTCGGCCAAGAAAGAATCTCTGAATTCTAAAACCTTTCCAACACAATTCTCATCAACTGCCATAAAATGCTATGTGCATTTCAAGGTGAGGAAACGAGGTAAAACTGACAATTGAGAGACTATTAAGTAAGGAAAAAATATATACATATACACACACACACAAATTTTCCACCCAAAATATGCTTTATCCACTTGCAAATTAAGCTGAACCCCCAGGGAACTAGGGTTTAGCAATGAGTTTCTTCTTATAGAAGGACAGGGACACTAAGCGAAGCATCTAACAAAGGATGTTCTATCAAGTGACATGCTTTAAAAAGCAAGGTAGGAGATCCTGGCCTCTCTGTTCATTGTACACATGTGTCAGCCAAGGTGGCCTGAATTCTTCATAATGCATGGCAGGAAGGCCAGTCTCTAGACTGAAGCTAAGTCAGGTGTTGCCAAGGAATCAATCTTTCAAATCCTCCAGTGGAATCAATCATTCCCATATATTTAGCAAAATGGCTTAGGGTCTGGTCCACACAAGCAAAAACTAAAATGCATACTGGATAATTATCTAGTTAATAAAATGAACACAGACTACACCTACATCACTCAAGTTCTGAGATGATTTGGGGTCTTTTTTTTTTTAGATTGTGCTCTTTATCAAGTTCAGGACCATAAGAACACTGACAGATATGATAAATGTTAGTAAGTACTGTTGAAAGAAATAAGTAAATTGCACCTTACTCACCTAAGCATAGTATCGAGTCCACAAAGAAAAAATGAAGTACAACTATATTTTAATTACTGCCTATTCTTAGTCACAAACGCATGCTTATAGCAACGTTGATGTACTTAATAACCACTTAAAATATATGTGTAAACATGTTTGCACTGCACATAGAGAGGTCAGAGGCCATACGGAATCTCAAAAAGGGCATCACCCAAGCTATCCTATCTAGCCCCATCTCCACAACTACCTCTGCAACTTTGGCGAGTTATGTAGCCTCTCAAGTTCAATGTCTTCATCTGTAGAAAGTGATATTATTTGAACTGACTACCTTAAAGAATTCTTGTGTGAGTCTCCAGAGAAAACAGATATAATAGCATTTTGTTAAAGTTTAAGTGATGTAAGAACCAAATCAGACTTACGTACTTGCTTCACATGAACTTAGGTTAGACCCAATTATTCCTAAAAGAAATTACCATGGATAAGTAGTACAAATACTGGGAACATGAAGTAGCAAATCATCATCTTATAAAAGTACAGATTATGGCAGCAACAGTATTAAATAGATAATAATCTGCCTGGTAAATTCACTTGGTTTTCCCAGCCTAATTTTAAGGCCTCGCCAATCAGAAGAGACCAAAACAGTCGTTCATACATTTGGTCACCTTCTCTGGTTGTACTCTGATCTGCCACTCAGTCACCAGATCGTAATAGCAGACACATTCTTTTATGTTATCCATAAATGCCAGCAGAGGAAACGGCAGCACCTTCTCCATATGCACCTGGTTATGGTTAAGGTGTGAACACTGCTAACTCTCATATCCAAGTGAGGAAAAGATTACTAATATATAAATAGTTAGACAGTGTGACCAGAAGTACTATCCTATGGAAAATTACTGACCTCATACCAAACTATATGCAAATTCATTGCTAAAATCATAAAACAAAGGCTCTTTTTAAAAAGAAAAAGGGACAATACTCTAGGACATAAGATAAGTAGGTCACTTATTTTGTGGGAGAAAAAGGGAAATATTAAAAGAAAAACTGATGACATAATTTTCCTCACAATATAAATTTTAGAGTAGTATGCTTATCAGGATTAAGAATCATAGCCAATAAACTCTTTTGAAAAACAGTTTGGATATGTTGAACAGAACACTATTCAAAACAAAGGAAGCTTGTGAGAGGAACTCAGCTGCTTTAAATGGAATTGTAAAAACATACATTGGGTCCACCTTAAAGTCAACAAAATGTCTTTTCTCTTCTAGCAACCTGACATTTTTAGAGGAGGAGAGAAAACTGTGACGTGCCTACCATCCACGCGGCTCTTTACACTCAGACATCACAAAAGCATGCTGGTGTCTCAGATCAAGCCCGAGAGTGCAAACCTACTTCTACACACATATGCTGAACCTTAGAAACTGTCATCTCAAAAGGATGAACAACAACAACAACCAAATAAGGCAATGGGACAACCTTGGGATGACTGGGGATAAGAGGCCTCAAGAAGCCAATGCCTTTTATGAAAGTCGTCCTTAGGCCAGCTCTGGATGATCTGCATCCAGCTTTTTTGACCACACATGGACAGGAGTCCTGTTCTCCTGAACCTTTGTTAGAGGCATTCATTCTGTTGATTTTACAGTTACTCCTGCCACTGCTTCAGCTGATGGGATTTCAGATTTCTACAAAGCACACATAAAGCAGGAATGCATGAGTAACTTCGAGCTAGATTCACAAGAACTGGAGAGGATTGGCATCTGTTAAAAAGCATGCTTCAGCGGGATTTCAGATTTCTACAAAGCACACATAAAGCAGGAATGCATGAGGAACTTCGAGCTAGATTCACAAGAACTGGAGAGGATTGGCATCTGTTAAAAAGCATGCTTCAGAAGACAGGCCATAGGCAATGGCTGGACTAAAGCATAATGCCTAAGATTATAATCTTTTCATTTTAAAATATTTCTGATGTAAAGAACTCATGAGCCTAATATAATAAACATCCATGCACCACCCCCCAATCTGATTTATCTTTTAGACTGGCAATGAATTTACTTTTAGATAGTCTAATATTAATTTAAGTAAACTTTCTTTTTTATTTATCAGTCTTGCCAGAGGTTGGTTTTGCTAATACAGATGTTATTCAACTTATGATGGGTTTATGCCCTGATAAACCCATTGTAAATTCGAAACATCTAAGTTAAACTGCATTTAATACATCTAACCTACCGAACATCATAGCTTACCTAGCCTAGCCCACCTTAAAGGTACTCAGGACACTTACATTAGCCTACAGTTGAGCAAAATCATCTGGCAACACAGTACACTGTAGAGTATGGTTGTTTACCTTCGTGACCACATGGCTCACTGGGAGCTACGGCTCACTGTTGCTGCCCAACACCACAAGAAAGAATCGTACTGCACACAGCTAGCCCAGGAAAAGACCAAAATTCAAAGCGGAGTTTCTACAGAATGTGTATCACATACAAAAAATTGTAGGTTGAACTAGAAACATTTTAAGCCAGGACCATCTGTATTCTCAAGAAAGGAAATTTTGGCTTTGTGAGTCCTCTCTATTATACCATTTCTTCCTATTTCATTTAATTTATCCTTTCTCATCATTATTTATACTTTTTCTAACTTGGTATTTTTGCAAAATTCATTTTCAATCATGTATTTTAATATATACTTTTCAAGACTATAATTTTTCCTCTAAATCCTGTTTTAGCTACATGCCACAACTTTTGTCATTTACTTATAAATATTTTATAGTTTCCATTATTATTCATCTATGATCCAGAATTATTTAAAACATTTAGATTTTTGTTATTTCTAATTTGTCATCTTTATATTAATATGGATTATTACTTAGACTCCCTTTGTGTTTTTATATGTGATCAATTTCTGTAAATGTTTTATAGGTCTTTAAAAAATTGAAGTTCCTTTTTTTTTTTCCTTTGGCAGCTGGCCAGTACAGGGATCCAAACCCTTGACCTTGGTGTTAGAACACCATCCTCTAACCAACTGAGCTAACTGGCCAGCCCATGAAGTTCCTATTTTTGATGTACAAGATTCAGATATGTCTAGTAGGCCAAAACTTTTAATTGTATTATTCAAATCTTATTATTTTTTTTTCTGAACTAGATATGAAATAATCATCAACTACTACTGTGGGCTTGTCAGTTTCTCCTTATAATTATGCCAACACTTGCTTTCTCTATTCAGAGGCTATACTCTTGGTGCATGCACTCTTACTGTTATACATATACTTCTTGGTAATTATGTCTTTCAGCAGTCATGACTTTATCTCTTATAAAAGTTTTGTCTTTAATGATATTTAGTGGTAATAGTGCTGCACCATTTTTCTTCTGGATAATATCTGGCTCATATATCTGGTGTTCCATTTCTTTACTTTGAACTTGATTGTGTTATTATGCCTTAAGTGTGACTCTTATAAATAGTACTTAGTTAGATTTTTAAAATCAAATTTGAAAAGCTCTGCTTTCTAAAAAGTGAGTTTAATACATTAAAATTCATTGTAACTGACAAATTCAAACTTATTTTTCTCTTTTCCATGCTCTGCTAATCATTCTCTTTTGTCCTCCTTTTCTACCTTCTAGTAAGATAAGTTTTATTCTCTTTCTCCTTTTACTCCTTTCAAAATAATACATTCTATATTTATTTCTTTAGGAGTCCTCTCAAAAAATTTTAAAAACTGAATCAATACCTAATTTTCATCAGTGCCTCCCTCATCATTCTGTGTATAAAGGATTTAAAATGCATTTAATCCCATCAGGAAACCTTCCTCTCCCATCAGCCTCCATGATATTGTGTCTGTTATTTATTTTTCTTAATTTATTTTATTTTAATTTATCAATATATACTGTAGTTGATTTTCATGTCCCTTTACCAATTCCTCCCCCCACATTCTCCCCTGTCACCCATCAACATCATATCTGTTCACATGACTTAGCAAGTTCAAATTTATCAATATATACTGTAGTTGATTTTCATGTCCCTTTACCAATTCCTCTCCCCACATTCTCCCCTGTCACCCATCAACATCATATCTGTTCACATGACTTAGCAAGTTCAAGGAATTGTGATTGTTGTGTCTTCCTCCCTGTACCCCATTTGTCAGCTTGCTTATTTATTTATTTATTTATTTATAGCTCCCACAAATAAGTGAGAATGTGGTATTTCTCTTTCTGGGCCTGACTTATTTCACTTAATCTAATTTTTTCTAAGTCCAGCCATGTTGCTGCAAATGGTAGTATTTCATTCTTTTTTATAGCAGAGTAGTATTCCATTGTGNTTTTTCCTTTGGCAGCTGGCCAGTACAGGGATCCAAACCCTTGACCTTGGTGTTAGAACACCATCCTCTAACCAACTGAGCTAACTGGCCAGCCCATGAAGTTCCTCTTTTTGATGTACAAGATTCAGATATGTCTAGTAGGCCAAAACTTTTAATTGTATTATTCAAATCTTATTATTTTTTTTTCTGAACTAGATATGAAATAATCATCAACTACTACTGTGGGCTTGTCAGTTTCTCCTTATAATTATGCCAACACTTGCTTTCTATATTCAGAGGCTATACTCTTGGTGCATGCACTCTTACTGTTATACATATACTTCTTGGTAATTATGTCTTTCAGCAGTCATGACTTTATCTCTTATAAAAGTTTTGTCTTTAATGATATTTAGTGGTAATAGTGCTGCACCATTTTTCTTCTGGATAATATCTGGCTCATATATCTGGTGTTCCATTTCTTTACTTTGAACTTGATTGTGTTATTATGCCTTAAGTGTGACTCTTATAAATAGTACTTAGTTAGATTTTTAAAATCAAATTTGAAAAGCTCTGCTTTCTAAAAAGTGAGTTTAATACATTAAAATTCATTGTAACTGACAAATTCAAACTTATTTTTCTCTTTTCCATGCTCTGCTAATCATTCTCTTTTGTCCTCCTTTTCTACCTTCTAGTAAGATAAGTTTTATTCTCTTTCTCCTTTTACTCCTTTCAAAATAATACATTCTATATTTATTTCTTTAGGAGTCCTCTCAAAAAATTTTAAAAACTGAATCAATACCTAATTTTCATCAGTGCCTCCCTCATCATTCTGTGTATAAAGGATTTAAAATGCATTTAATCCCATCAGGAAACCTTCCTCTCCCATCAGCCTCCATGATATTGTGTCTGTTATTTATTTTTCTTAATTTATTTTAATTTATCAATATATACTGTAGTTGATTTTCATGTCCCTTTACCAATTCCTCTCCCCACATTCTCCCCTGTCACCCATCAACATCATATCTGTTCACATGACTTAGCAAGTTCAAGGAATTGTGATTGTTGTGTCTTCCTCCCTGTACCCCATTTGTCAGCTTGCTTATTTATTTATTTATTTATTTATAGCTCCCACAAATAAGTGAGAATGTGGTATTTCTCTTTCTGGGCCTGACTTATTTCACTTAATCTAATTTTTTCTAAGTCCAGCCATGTTGCTGCAAATGGTAGTATTTCATTCTTTTTTATAGCAGAGTAGTATTCCATTGTGTAGATATAACACATTTTCCTTATCCACTCATCTAATTATGGCCATTTGGGCTGGTTCCAACTCTTGGCTATTGTAAATAATGCTGCAATAAACACTGGAGTACAGGTATCCCTTCAACATGATGTTTCCATTCCTCTGGGTATATTCCCAGCAGTGGAATAGCTGGGTCATATGGGAGATGTATCTGTAATTGTTTGAGGAACCTCCATACCATTTTCCATAAA